TCAAGGAAATATGTCGAGAAGGATTTGAGGACATACTGAAAGGTTGTAACCCGGAAGAATTGGCGAAAAACTCATATTCCCGGACAGAAATTCACAAATTTTCCAAATTAAAACGTTAAACAAGCTCCTCCAATCGTGTGGAAAGAAAACATTGAAAAAAGAAAAATATTTAGAGACACAATTGCTGGAGAAGGTTTTCTGTCACGATTAGGGATCACGATTAGAAACATCGATGTTTTTAAAATCATGGGAAAATACCATTTGTTTCATCACTTTTAAATCGTCTATATTTTAAATATAGATGTGTTTTGTCGATTTTTCATGTACATCGAAAACCTTTTGGTGATGTATCGAAGTATCGATGTTTTGCTAAAATTTGCCATCACTAGTCCCAACACCTCAAAGAACAAGCGAGATACTTAAAAAAAAGTAACGTGACAGGGCAAAGCAGGAATGAAGTAATATTGGAGACAAAGTAAGAGGAAATGATAAAGGTACGAAATCGTACACATCAAGCAAAGTTTTGGCACCTGGTTAAGATCGAACCCAATTACTTGTGCATTCAAGTTCAAGGGCGTTGCCTTACGCTCGTTGCAACCTGAGCTGATAACAAATAAATATCTAAATATTAAATCCAGGGTGTGTCATTTCAGGAGGGAAAAAATCACCATTTTCTTGTCAGATTGACAAATGTTTCTGATGTCACGTAGTAAAGCTTTGTAGTAACGCTTCGTTACTACAAGACAGATTCTTGGCGACTTAACTTCTTCTACAACGTCCAAACGTTTTTGCTTCAAGTACTCAAATACTGAGGATATTTGTAGGTATTTGCAAAAGGAAAAAAAGAAAAAGGATACAAACGACAAAAAATACAAAATCGTGAATTGGGGTGCACCTAACCACATCGCACGCAACCCTGCGATCGCGACCGCCAGCCGACCGTCAGAATTGCAGTTCACTCGCAGTTTGCAATTGACGCTTTTAAGTTCATGAATCTTTAACAAATCCGGTCTAGGAAATGCGCAAAATTGCTGGTGACATACTACAAGCAAAATTATTGCAATCGATTTCTACTGAAATCAAGGTCTCTGAGACCAAAACGGAAAAGGAATTATTTATTGAAATTATCATGAGGAACACGCTGGTGTTTTCTACTTGAATTGACTCACCTGTGTACAAACGTTTAACTACAAAAGTGTACAAATAAATTGAGAAATACATGTTCAAATAAATAAATACAAGTACACATAACTAAATATATGTGCAAAAATATAAATAAAGAATAAAAAATAAATAGATATAAATAAAAAAATACGTGTATTAATAAATAAATACATAATGGAATAAATGTACAAATAAGTAAATGCATGTACAGATAAATAAATAAATAAATAAATAATGTAGAAATAAGTAAATACTGTAAAAGTAAGAGTATAAATAAGTGGGTGAAGGGAAGTACTCACTGGGCGGGGCAGGGCTTGATTGCGCAGCGTAGCATCTGCGGCGGCGGTCGCTGCAGGCCGGCGCAGCGCCGCTCCGGCACCGGCGTCTGCCCGTGCTCGCGCACGCACGCCAGGATGGGCGACTGCACCCCTGCGCACGCATCAACACGCATGCACCCCTGCCATCGCGCTGCGCCGCGTGTGGCCTGCGCGCGCCAAAGCACGCGGACTGATGCTTAAAGCACGGCGAGCGGAAAGCGCGCAGCCCTGAAGTCCGTGTCATTTACATGTTTTCTTTGCAATGCCAATAAATTGTTGTTTCCCAATCAAATGTTAGGCTGTACCTTTTACTCATAATTTCAATTTCTGTGCGCGTTCCCAGTTCGGTTTCGGGTCGGGGCAAAGCAGAGCTGTAGCTCTCTCAATACGGTCGCCACAGTATTTACAGCTGCGTGATGAAACGAAAGCCTACGAAGGCCGAGTGTGCTACTACACACGAGGATGGCAACATGTCCTGATCGCCACATGTCTGCCTTACCACCAGGCGTGGATAATAAATTCAAATAAAAGGGCACAGGCTGTGGCAACACCTAGCTGGCAAAAGTCGAATTAATCCGACACTAAAATGCCTAATACATACATACATACACACAATATCTGTAAAGCTATGAACTAGTGGCGACTGCTTAGGAGGAAGCTAGGGGACTATGTCACTCTCAGTTAATTACGTCATCGAGCAAATTTCTAGCGCCTGAGATTTGTGTATGAGCATCGTACCATTGGTTACCGAAGGTCGGTTCTCTTCTATTGGCTTTCAGTAGAGTTAGCCTCGCTACTGTAACATTGCTAATCCCGTTTTGGTGGTACTGTTACTCTTTAACTCACCAATTCTCGTTAAAAGGAAGAGTTTCTAGGTATCAAAAAAACGTGCGCAGGTTGTACTTCTCTCCTACATGTTGAATACAGTTTTTACTTTTTTGTCGAAATAAATGAAATCAATTCAGAGTAATTTTCCATAACACAAAATATACGATTATTCTGATAACTTTTTTCATTAATATCCTTACAGGAACGGTTTTACTAATGATATCTCCGAGCAATGTATAGAGAATAATGGTAGTGCAAGCAATCACGAGGCATATTATGACGGAAAGTGAAATGTGAGTAATAATGATTTTTGATTATCATTGCTTTTTCTTTCTCGCTACTAATAGAGAGGAAGTTATACGCGAATGCTGCGAAAAAAAACTACGAATTTTCGGCTGAAAAATGTAATTACAAGGTATAGTAACGAAAAAGTGGATAAATACGGTTGATAAATTTAAAAGTAAAAAAATCCTCTAACACGTTGTGTAGCCAGAATCCATGTTTTGTAGGTTATTTATACCGAAAAATCTAATGAATTCAAAACGTCTTTCAGTCTGTTCGTCCGTCCGTCGTCCTGACTGTCAGTCCGAAGAAACTACTAACGGCTAACGACTAAACTGTTCAGCCGATTAGCTTGACAATTGATATTTTCCAATTGAACTGGCTGATGTCGCGGCTCCTTGAGCTTTAAATTGATTTTTTTTAATTTTGGGAAGTGTGCAGCTCTTAGGACATTGTCAAAAGTTTCTTAAAAAATAGCTCTATCAATTATGATTAAATTTGGTTGTTGGATAATGTAAAGAGTTTGTAATAGAATGGTGCGAATGATGCGTTTTTCGGCGACTTTCTACAACTAGAATTATTAAGATAGAGATTTTTGCCCTTAATAAAATCTGTTCTGTAAAGATAGGTTTTGAAATAAGGTCATATACAAGTTTTCGAAAGTTTAGTACTTTTCCCGTAATTTTGCGTGAAAGTACAAGCAAGAAAGTACGTGCTGTTTTAGCACCACTAGTTTTCTTTTGACATTAAACAAACAAATCGATTATGGCTAATTTGAAGATGGGAGAATGAGCGTCAGTGAAACCAGAAAACCGAAAAAAATTCGATATGTGTCAAATGTTCTTTTCTTGGTTCAGGGGCCTAGTTTTAAGATATGTATTCGTTTTATCAAAAGAAGTCAATAGGTCGATGTCAAAATCACATTCCTTCCTTGAGTTCGGTGCTCCACCTTCAGGCGTGTCAGCACATGATATGTATTTCGTGCTCTTGGATAGTGTTACATGGCTGTACCGCACACGTGCAGTCGGTTTGGGCTTGTAAAGGAAACAACGCTATCAAATTTCGATATCGGAGATCAGAGCGATAGCGATATTCAAGCACTTTATTTGGTGTGAGACACTTCAAAAATTGGTTGCCAGAAAGGAAAATGCTGGAGATTTGCAGAATATTTGTAATTACCTAAAATGTTTGCGTCTGAATTGATACAGTGACTGGAATTTATTGCAAAATAGGAATTTGTATTGATTCATGCTATAGAAGCAAAATATGTTTCAACTCGTGCGTCTGACAAATGATGTCCAGAAACTTCTTGTTAATCTTTATTACGAACCATTTTCATACAAGCAAATCGGATTTCAAATCTTCACTAAAATTTAATTACTTTTTACTTTCTCGTCTCTCTACTTTGATCCTACTTGACTAACGCAGAACTCCCTTGCAGGTGGTCTGATAATCAAAGCTACCTGGGGCAGGGAAGGGTAGGGTTAGGTATCTGTCCGCTAGGTGGCTATGGCTGAATCCTGCATGTCAATTGCCACGAAACAGTTCAACGTAAACGTTTAACTTACAACAGTTGCCATAAGTCGTATAAGAAGTAGCGCATGGAAATCGATGCAATGGGTATTAATACACTCGCGTGAATATTACGATACTCGCTCGTATCGCAATATCACACTCGAGTATTAATAACCGTCAATGTGAGACATGCCCAGAGTCATATCTACTCTGTAATCTAGGAAAATGGCTCGTTTGAAACCTTCTGTGCCATTTGGGCCGTGGCCAGCGAGGGTCCGGGGCGGGGGCGGGGGCGGGGGCGCACGTACCTCCGCCGCAGGTGCGGCTGCACTCGGTGAAGCCCACGGTGCGCCACGCGAACTTGCGCTTGCGGCCGCGCGTGCGCGGCTGCGGCGGCTGCGGCTGCGGCGGCGGCGGCGGCGGGTGCGACTCCGTGCCCTGCACGCCCGCGCCGTTGAACGCGTAGCCGCCGTTCGCGTCGGGTCTGCAACACGCAACACGCTGGTAAGGAGGGTTTCCCTCGACCCGTTCTTTACCGGGAGAGGGGGCTCAGGGCCCCAACTGAAGTCTCTCGCCGGGAGGGCATACGCTCGAGTTCCCGCTCTGGCGAGGACTTTCGACGCTAACTACATATTCAGTCGCTGTCTGGAGGAGTATTCTAGCCGACGGCTGCTCTGGTCGGTAGTTTTCCTTGGTTTCTCTGGCCATACACCGCGCACGATCTTTCCTTCCTCTTCTTTCCCCTGTCCTCATCCCTTACACACTTTGACTAACATGCTGGGAGACCGGTCGGGAGCTTGGAGCTTGCCCTGGCTGGGGCGGTGGCCCGCTGGCAGGAGACACCCGGATGGGGAAAACTCCCGCTATCCAACGGCAGGTAGGCGCCGAATGTCGCTATACAGCGGGGGAGGATCACCACTACCTCTCGAGGAAAAAACATGCACTACACGTACGGGATCAATAACCTTAGTAGTTGACGCGCCCGGAATCAGTAACAATCAATAAAAGAAATCGTTATTTAGTGTTTCCGGGCGCGTAACTCCTATGCTCGTAAGTCCTGTGAGTGCAGTGCATATTGTGTCTCGGGGCGGTGTTCCCCTATCGCTGGAAAGCGGTGTCCGGCGTCGACCTACAGGGCGACTTTGTGGGATTTTCCATCGCTAGGGACCTTCTCCAGCGGGCCACCGCCCATGCCTCCACAAGCTCTGACCTCTCGACTGGTCTCGTGATATTTGAAATAATGTAGTGAATTTAGGTGTTTCTGTACGTGTCGGAGAAAGGATAAACCCGTGATAAAGAAGGAAAGATCGTGCGACGTCTGTGGTTCGCTTGTTAACGTATTGCTCCGGCATTCAACAGGTATTGACAAGAGGAATCACGCAAAACTACCAAACAGAGCAGCTGGCCGCTAGTATTCCCCTCCAGACAGCAGTTGAATTCGCAAAGGCAGTGTTTCTAGTGTGCGAAATCCTCCAATATTGACACTCGAGCCTTAGAATCTCCTGGTAAACTAGTTGCATGCCCTCGAGGCCTCCCTGTTGGTGGAGTAGCGAAAGCCAACAAATTTCCCAATATTTTATTCTACGAAACAGAAGGGTTTTGTAAAGGAAAAACATAATTTATTCAATGAGATAATGATGTGTGACTTATGTGAACGAGTTACGTGACTCAAGATGATATGTTTCAGTTGGTTTAATTTCTGGTTATTTTGATATACTTTATTATTACATTACCCAGGAAATGTAACGCTTAATTTGGAAATTCTGGAAGAAAATAGGGAAAGTAAGCTGTACTTGATTGGACAAATGTCATTTAACCCACTTATAAAACAGCATCATTTAATGTAGGGAGTTACAATACGAAGGATTAAATAAAATTATTTTTATAATGAGTAAAATGTTTACCTCTTGTCGGCTGCATCGGCTGCCAATACGTCTTTCACACTGCTGTCGCTAGAGCGCCCTGTCCCAGCAAAAAACAAAAACATTTAGTACTTCAACATTGAGTTTAATAAACACAACAACTCTTTCACTTGTGGAATATCAATTAAGCCAATATACGGGAAGGAATGAAATTATTGGAGCTCCAAATTAATTTCAAAATTTTATAAGCTAATATATGAATAATTAATTGTAGTCTGAAATTAATTTATCGTGTGAATTTTATTGACAATGAACAAAACTGTTAATTGGTGTGTTGAAATAACACTTCTTCAAAGACAATAATAACGAAAAATTCAACAAAGAAAGGCAACCTCAAGTTAAGTTTTGAAACTGCAATAATTAAACGAATTTCGTTATATTTAACTCCAATCTATTCCGTTCGTTTCAAGTTCACTACATTTAAAAGGAGCTCAGCTCGGGTGGAAAAAAAATCGTTTGCTCCACTTTAATTCGATTCAAGTGAGATCATTTCAGTTTGGTCCCCTTTGCTTCAATTCGTTTCATGTCATTTCATGTCACCGTTGGGATTCGGTGCAGTTTGATTCAACGTAGTTTTTTCTGAGAAATTAGCTAAATTTTGTCCGTCTCCATTGCGTTTCATTCATTTCATTTTATATCCGTTCTATACAATTGAACTCCTATGGAATGCATTCGGACTGGAGCGATTTAATTAAGATGAATGTTTTAATTCAGTTCAGCGCACTTGTGTCAACTCACGCTTCAGTTTAATGGCACTTGAAAATGTTAATTATCATTATAGGCCTCTTACACAATAGACAATTCACATGTCCAGGTCGTTATGAATGACATCGATGGGTGCGTAAGGCGACTTTTGGCGCACTCACTTGATTGCCATAGTAGAATCAAAGATCACTAGCGAAATTTGAAAATTCTATGGTGAAAATACAAGAAAAAAGTAAATTTTCTATACTTTTTATGTACAATAAAGAAATTTGCGTTGATTTTCAAACTTAACAATTCCATTTTTAACTCGAATAATGGACAAAGTTTAGTTTACAATTGCACTGACAAATAGTTTTCACCCCTGCAGTCACTTGATCGCATAGTATTCAAGATCGCTAACAAAACTAGAAATTAAAATGGCGAAAAACGACAGCAAAAAAATCAATATAAATGTTTCATTGTTTAATGAGAAAAGAATAAATATCGAATTTCTCTCTGAAGAACCATATCCATATCTTTAATGACGGCCTAACTTTACTAAGCTTTCTCCGCTGCCCGACGCGCATGTGCAACGCTTCCCTCCAAGACGAGGTTCGCACCTTCATTTACATATCCTTTATTGTCTTTGTAGATAGTTCAGTATACATAACTATTCGTATGTATTTAGAGGCTCACTTGCTAACCTTATACAACTAACATGCAACTAACATGCTATTACAAGGGAGAGGAAATTCCATTACGGGTCCTCAATCTGGATCTAAATCAGCATACATTGTTTTGGAATTTACGGTATGGATATTTGTTTTTGATTCGTGTTTGATTGGAGTTTTTGACAAGTTTGAGAGGTGATAGGACTGGAATTTGATGTATTACTCTGTGCTCCAAGTTATATTCGTTGTGGAGTTGATTGTTTGTTACGGGACATGGATATGGGGCATTGGTTGTGGTTGGTTAAGGAGTATTAGCAACTACTCTAAAGCATTTTTTTACTTATTTAAGGTGGCTCTTCAACTACCAAGGTCAATTAGCGACCACTAAGCAACATTGGATATAACGGTAACGGTATGCAGACCCACACAAACATCTACGCCTCGGGCGAGTTTCGAACCCGCGACCCATCAGGCAATGGCAGCTATGTCTCTTCGGTCTTAGCGACCTCGACTACTCATGCCTGTTCTTATTTTATTTTCTAGTCCTTGAAGTTTCGCAGAATTGATCCACATTGGCGTGGCGTGCACCCTCATCGGTCCTAACAGTGCCTTGTAAATGGCTGTGGCGAGGAACTCACCTGGCGGCGAGGCCTGTGGGGGCGCGGGCGGCAGCAGGAGCGGGGGTGCGGCCTGCGGGGGCGCCCCGGGGCCGCGGGCGGGCAGTGGCCCCGCCCCCACCCCCGCGCCCGCCCCCGCGCCGCCAGCAGCGTCGCTCGGCTTCATCGGCAGCGTGTACTCGTACTTGATGCCCGGGTTGGGCTGCTGGTACAGCACCTGCGCCCACACAAACGCTTTACTTTTCGACTCATCTGCGGCAAAGATTTCAAGGACTTCCACTGGTGGCTGTGGTACGATTCGTGGCACTCGCTTCTCAGCGCAACTGGCGAAGGGAGAGAAAACTATCAGTAATAACCACGTTTTCCGATAGTGATGGCGTTGTCGCAACCTCCAGCAGGGTGTTCCAATATTTTGATATAGATTGGAAAGACACTTATCTGTGTGAACAAATTTAGCGCACATGGAAAATAAATAGTCTGAACTCAAATGAAGTATAACATGCAAAAACCCCAATGAAACAAATTGAGTATGAAAATATGGTCGCTGAAGAAATTTACTACAGCGTCTGAGGCAACAACGTTCAAATTTAAGTAAAAATATAAATAATAAATAATAAGAAACGTTCTTATATTTATTTATCTAAATTGCAATTAATTGCATTTTAAGTGTAAAGCGTAAAAATGTCCAGGGAGACCCACTACCCTTGTGATGAGGCGATGAATTGCGTGGAAGGGTGATTTCGTCGTGCTACACATGTCACGAACTCACACTAGGGTTATCGACCTTGACGTCACTGGTCTACGGTAACCTCGTTGGCATACAAAGTATTGTAAACGTATTTACTTTCTACTTTAACTTCAATTTCATGTGTTGTTTCTTATTTTTTTGCGTAAAAAGAAACACTAAATTAAATTCCATTTGATGTATAGGAGGCAAATGCTTATAAATCACTTTGTTGCATTTCCGCTAGACCCAGAACGCCCAGTGTCACCTATAGGTGGCATCCTCATAAAACAGAAACCACAGTATTGATTTAAATAATAATCTACTCAAAGGTTACGGGAATAGATAAATAAGTAATATTCAGAATGGCAACCCAAAATCTCTCATTTTATAACAATAGGAATTGCCAATTTAAATAGTTTCTGAGATAATTTACTCAACAAATTGCCAATGTAACAAAGAGGGAGAATACCATTTAGTGTAGAACGTAGAAAAGGAGTATGCGGTAATATTGATGTCCATTTAGTATAATAGCTCTTTCGAAGAAAGTTAGGATTTTTAGTGGTGATTTGGTTGTAATTTTGGTGGTAATTTAGTTTATTAAGTTGTCCTCTTTGATTTTACCTTACGCAACCAAGTCTATGAAATCTATTTCGTTAAAACTTAGCAACACGAAGAGTATTCTCATCACTTTCACGTTTTGCTATTTTGAGCCTTCAATGGCACGAAACATCGACAAGAAATGTCGCTTCCTCGGTGATCATAAAACGAGTCCGTAAAATAAA